GCCGCTTAAGAGCCTCAACAAAATACCAGCAGAGATGGGAAGGCCATGGTGACAGCACCTCCTTCGTCCCACTCAACTTTACACCCATTTCCCCCAATTCACCAGTACTTTGGCAAAGTGAGAGTTGGTCATAAAATTCAAGCCATTGCACTCATGTGTTTGTGTGATGTTTCCAATGTGAGTCTGATTCAAGATTTATTTTATTAACATTATGGTTTATTAACAGCACTACAAATAAACGAGAATGTCTGGGAACCAAGTTTATTCCCAAGAATATTTAAAAAATGCGGATGTTAAATACTTTAAAAGTAATTTACTGATTATATTCTGCAGCTGTATTACCCTCTCCTGATTTATGAGACAGAAGAAATACCTGTTTTCCTGTGACATCACACTTTGGCTCTGACAGGCTTTTATGTTCTGCTGCTGCTGCCCTTCACACAGGGTCTGCCCTTCTCTTTATGAAGTATAAAACAGCATAACTATTGAGCATTCACAACTAAAGGTTGTTTCATTTCTCAAAACCATAATTTATGTAAAATGTAGGATTGACAGCTACAGTCATTGTCTGGATTGCAGCAAACATCTATACTCAGAGAGAATGCAAATTCCAAACTAGCAACCCCCATGTTCTCTAAAGATTCCAGTCTAGAACTCTGAAATTTATCTTGATAAAGAACATTGAATAGAGGGTCACACCTGTGTAGGCAGTACAGTCCAAAAGCCAGGAAGAATACATATAATTTCATAAAAAGCCAGAGTCTGTGAAAATTGTCTCAATGTAAAAATACTGTGAAGAAAATGGAAAATGTCAATCCTGTTTTTTTTGGCTGCAGCGTAGGGATCCTATGCAGTTCATACAGAATGTTTTCATCTTTGATAAGGATCAACATGTTTAAGAGGAAACATTTGTCTTTGATTTTATCTTTGCTTGACTGAACGTGCATTGGTCACATCCTACTTAAAAACGTTGACTGTCTACTTATCAAATACCGAGCACAGTTGCACATAAATGCTCATAAATTAATTTCAGTTTCAGAAAGTCCTATCAAAACTATCAAGAATCTTTGAAAAACATACAGTAATGCGGCTACAACTTTCTTGTTTCTGACCATAAAGAACTAAATTAATATTTTGATATGGGGAAAGTGGAGCGATTGAATAATTCATTGGAAATGCATCAGATTGAATCTGCAAGTATTGAAGAATTAAATCGGCTGTTCTAATTATTGGAAGATAGAACAATTCATTATCATATGGGACTGAGCCAGAACTTATAACGTAAGAGGACTGCTTATTTCATTGTAATAGAGGGAGTAACTCATTAATTGTAACATGGGGAATTTTGATGTGTCACTTCAACATGGAGGACTGAATCAATGTTGTCACATGACAAGTTAATCATCTGATATAATTTGGCTGGTGGGTGTGGAGAACTGAATCGGTAATTCAAACAGAGAGAATCAAGTTCATCAGAGTGGCGTTGGGTGTGTTGCAAATCACTTGGTATTTTGGGAAGAATAGAACCAGTGTTCGTGGAAAATTATATGTAAATTGAATAATCTGATTGCCACTGAAAACAGTGGCAGAGGAATTATGATACACATGTCAACTCAAAGTAATGCAAGCAGCATACAAGCAGGGTGCTGAATAGAATTCAGACTAACTCTAAATATGCAACTTAGTGGCTACATGACTCACTAAGAGTCTATGCTTGTGCGGTGCTAGCATCAATTAAAACTGGACTGAATTAGTTAAAGCCTGACTGCACTACTTAAAGGGGATCAGGCACTGGATCAGTTTTTAGAAATAGAATCTGTTTTGGTAGAGAATTGAACATGCTGCTACAGAACAGAGTGTATGTTCCAAGGTTCTCTGATGCAGCACTGGATACCATTGAGTTTTCTGAAGAGGTTACCAAGACGATAGATGAAGGCAGGGTGTAACATGGACTTTAGCAAGGCTTTCAACAAAGTCCTGCATGGTAGACTGATTAGTAAGGTTAGATCATATGGGATCCAGGGAGACCAAGCCAACTGGATACTAAATTGGCTTGATGATAGAAGAAAGAAGGTGGTGATGCCTGATCGGCATGGACGATTTGTACCAAAGGGTCTATTTCCGTGTTGTATGACTGTATGATTCTATGAGTATTTTGCAGATTTTTTTTGATAAAGTTGTTTTGGAATGCTTGCTGTGATATTCAGTGAAGGTTGTTGTGGTTTGGTTTAGAATGGGGATTGGGGTTTATTTGTCATAGAATCATTGTTGCATGAAGTGATCCCGAAGAGGTTAGCCAAGAAGGGGATGTTCTGGTTGTCTTTTGGATCCTTCCTGCTCTTCCTCTTCATTCTCCTGTTGTTTCTCCTGCTCTTGCTGCTTGCCATAGGATGCGACCTCACGATGGTAAAGTTATGCAGGGCACAACGCAGCTCCATGGATCAAGGCACAAGATCTGGCCAGTATTCAAGGTCTCCCAAAGAATAGTGGAATTGGCGATAGCCAAGTGGTATTATTGCTAGACTATTAATCCCAAAACTCAGCTAATGTTCTGAGGACCCAGGTTTGAATCACACCGTGGCTGATTGATGGAATTTGAATTCAACAAAAAATAAAAGCTGGAAATAAGAATCTACTGATGAGCACGAAACCATTGCCTATTGTCAGAAAAACACATTTAGTTCACTAGTGTTCTTCAGGGAAGGAAATTTGCCATCCTCACCTGGCCTGGCCTACATGTGACTCCAGAGCCACAGCAATGTGGTTGACTCTCCACTGCCCTCTGAAATGGCCCACCAAGCCACTCATTTAAAGGGCAGCTAGGGATGGGCAATAAATGCTGGCTCGCCAGCAACATTCACGTCCCACGAGTAAAAAAAATTAATTTTGGACAGCGGGACAGTTGCCAATACATCCCATGATGTTTCACATGATCACATGGCTGTCAACACAACACATGTTGGCCATATCTGGTTAACTTGCTCAGCAGAGTCATAAGACACATGGACAACCCTTTTCACCCAGCAGCTATCCTTTGGTGACTTCATTATTGAGGGAATAGTACACTGGAGCAGAATAAGTGCATCATGACGGCTGCCATGACTATGGACATTCCAATGCATGATATCCCATCTGATCACTACACCAATTGCACATTGCAGTGAGTGGAGGCTTGCAGTTGTAATATATCTCTGCATTCAAATGCACACTTGCAAAGTCATATGTGCATGGTTAATAGCATCCCATGGAAATCCCACTGGCCTGACAAAGCTCGTCCTGTTTCTCTTTGATAAGAGAAGAGGCAATGAACTCAGCTGTCTTGGCATAAACAGTGTCAGTAACCTTCCTGATACAGCAGTGGACAGCAAACCTGAAGATGTTACAGATGTTGCCTGTTCAAGCATGGAAGGATCCTGATGCAAAGAAATTCAGGTCCACAGCCCCCTTCATATGACAGAAAGCACTATCCATGCTGCCTGCTCTGAAGCTGCATGTCAGCTTCCCAATTTTCATGAGCATTCACTTCATCAAACAGGTACAGTGCACATTCTGCTTCTGGCTTAGGTTGAGGCTCCTGGAAGACCCCGGTTCAAGCTGGTCTTCTTCTCCCTCTCTGTTTCTCCCCTTTGCAGCTGGGTAGCTTGTTCCCATTTGCACTGTCTCCGCTCAATCTCCCTTATGTTGCAGACAATGAGAGATGGTAACTACATATAGTACATTAACGAGAGCAAGAGATCTAACCACAATCCTTGAGGTTAGAACTGGAGTATTCTCAACATGTAGTACCATTCCATGCCAACTTCACCAACCTTCAACTGTTTGGCAAACTACCAAACACTTATACAAATTCAATCAGTGGAAAGTAATCAGCAACTAACCTAATAGTTAATGATCACTTTGAATAGGGTTAGTGAGGAGAATCCTTGCTTCTGCTAGTCACATGCTTAGTTGTGTATATTTCAAAGCAGGTGTTAGGCAGATTCCTGAGGTTCTAAATGGCAGTGTTGCCATAAAATCAATATTATATACCAGTTCACAGTGTGACCTGCCTAGTCTATATATCCTAATGCCCATATTACTGACTGCCTCAAAATGGCATCCAGCGCAAGTATGCAGGCAGTGACTACACCATTTTGGCACAGAAATAGCAGCTTTGATGCAGACATTCCAGGTTCTAAAGAGTTGATTTTCATGGGTGTTTAGTTTATATTAGTTGTTCAAGTGGAAATGTAAGCAGGATCTACTTGGTGATGAGGACTTTGTAAAATGATATACCCAATGATGTTAACTTGGAACCCAATATCTTAAGCATGCAAGTCTGCAGTACTCCAGGCACTGTTAATGATAAATGTTTGTGAATGAAACCTGATGGAATGGGCCTGGAATTCATTCTGTTTGGATTAAGAGTAAACTATCAGTCAGCATTTAAAAGGATAGGTGGCCCTGACTGGACTTGCAGGAGGAAGATTACTCATATTCTAAATTCAAGAAGCTGTGTGCTTTCAGTTGAATTAAGTCTATCATTACCCTTGCAAGCGCTTTGAGTTTTCTATTCTTCAATCTCCTAAAATGCTCAAATTTGGACTTGAGTAGGCAGTATATGTCCCGAGAGAGAGAGAGAATGTGCGCTTTGAATTAGCCACACAGAAATTTAGTATGCAAATGTTTACAAATAGCTTTATTTGAAGATTCTTGGACATGGTGATAGGCTGCAGCATAAATCACAAACCTCTTTGATGGAAAAGGCATCAGGTCATTACGGATTACCAAAATGTTTGAATTGGTGATGTTTTAAAATTGGAGATTAACCCATTCATTTTAAAGGGGCAATGCCAATGTTAAAATCAAGTACTGAATCTCATAGACTTTATATTAAGTAGATATCTATGCCATCATTGTTTTATCTGGGTATCCTAATAATCTTGTCGTTAGAAGAAAAGTGTCTTTTGTAACATCTTTATGTTCTGTATTCTAATAAATGTCTTCAATGTCTCCTTCAGCTCCTATGCTCAACGGTGCAGAAAGCCCTTTATGAGGAGGAAGATCGTGTGAGGAAGCTCTCCCAGAAAGTGAAATCTCTTGAAAAGGCCAACAACCATCTGCGTGAGAAGGTGAAGAGGATTAAGCGCTCCCTTCGACAGGTGAAAAAAGAGAGCAAGAGAGAAGCAATACTCATGAAGCAGATCCTACAGAAGGAACAGAACAAGGAAAGAGGAAAGTTGAACGTCAAACAGGACACTGGCAAGCGACCCCTAAAGAAACCAGTCAAGAAACCAATCAGCCATAAACTGTAACATTGCAGGCTTACTAAACATAAGAGATGTAATGCTTCCCTTATGAGTGGGAACATGACACACATGAAAATTATATCACGAAACAGTACCACATTATATGTTTGTTATTTTTTGAGTAACTTCCCACAGTAGAACTTGAAGGGGTGATCAAAATCAATGGATCTGATTTTAACTTTGCCTAAAGGGTTTTAAGTGAATTGAAATCTTACCTTATGAGTGAGAATATAGCCTGCCAGAATACTCTAATCTTGGAAGAAAAGCTCTTGCTCATGAAAGACTTCACTGATATACTTTAGTGGCAATGGTAATTCCAAGCCAAGCAATATATTCAAGTCCATTTGAAGCTTATTGTTCCTGCTCCCTATGCCCACACATGGCCGGTTAACTTGAATCGCCATCACCAGCGATCCATTTACATAGTATTCGGGTGACTCTGTGGTTAATTTAGACTAGATTAGGTAGATTGCTTCCTGTCATAACCACTTTTCTTCTTTGTACTTACAATGCTTTTTTTAAAATTTTCTGTGCTTAGCTAGAACAAATTTATCTGATCGAGTTTATTTTTGTTTAAAGATTCATAGGTAAGTGGAAAGTACTACAGCTTAAGTACATGTATTTTCTCCTGGAGTTTGGCAACTTTGGCAGCTATGGTAGTGGGGTTTGGTGGTATTCTTAAATTGCAGCCATTTCTCCTGGAGCTTGGTAATGCTTGGGAGGAATTCTCATGCAGTGAATCATCACTGAATTTATAACTTTCATGGAGAGGGCGTTTATTACAATGATTCTACTCAGTAACTTGCAGGAGATGTTATATCATGGTGAATATTCTGGGCTTGTTCAGTTCATTTGAGAGGAGTCAGTTCCTGTTAATTTAAGGGGGAATCATACAACCACATCTCTCCCTTTGAAAATGGTTAACCAACTTTTCATTTAATTACAAACACAATGGCATAAATCACAGTGAAACAACAATGAAATAAACAGAAACATCCAGATGAACCTTTACAGCAAAAAATATCCTTAGAAATAAGATTATTTTCCAAAGGCTTTTTGTTCTGTTATGTTTGCATTTTCATTGATATACTGACTAGTTACAATCTATGTTGAGTTGTCACTGACATGTAATAAGTGAACTCAGTTTGTGCTGAAATGTAAATTTGTTACTGATTATAAGCCAAAGGGCCTTGTATTAATAAAACTTTTCTTAACTTTTCTAGTTTCTTACTTTCAAGATTTTATTTTCTTATTCAAAATCAAAACTTAAATGAAGAGAAGTTAGGATATTGGTAACAACAGTGGAGTGATGTAACACTGGACACTCTAATATATGAAGGATGGCGGGACTACCATCCCTCAAATGCCGAGGATCTGAAGGAAATAATGATGAAGGTGAATACTGTCACCATGGGAAGAAGGAAAGTAAAAGCACCAGTCTGTGCCTCCTCTTATGCATTTCACCTGATCTGATGGGTGCTTATCGTGTTATGTCAGCTTGTGAAGGACCTCATTGGAAAATCCAAGTGACTAATGAAATTAAATCCAAACCAACCAAAAGAAGTGAGTGGGTTGTGTGATTTGAATGCTGTTGTTTTTGTTCATTTATGGAATGTGGGTGTCGCTGGCTGGCCAGCATTTATTGCCAATCCCTAGTTGCCCTTGAGAAGGTGGTGGTGAGCTGCCTTCTTGAACTGCTGCAGTCCACCTGCAGTGAATTGACCCATAATGCTGTTCAGGAGGAAATTCCAGGATTTTGACCCAGTGACAGTGAAGGAACAGCAATATATTTCCAAGTCAGGATGTTGAGTCGCATGAAGGGGAACTAGCAAGTGGTGGTGTTCCCATTTATCTTCTGCCGTTGTCCTTCTAGATGGAAGTGGTTGTGAGTTTCAAAGGTGCTGTCTAAGGATTGTGGTGAATTTCCACAGTGCATCTTGCAGATAGTACACACTATTGCTATTGAGCGTCAGAAGTAGAGTAGTGGATGTTTGTGGATATGGTGCCAATCAAGTGGACTGCTTTGTCCTGGATGGTGTCAAGCTTTTTGAGTGTTGTTGGGGCTGCTGTCATCCAGACGACTGGGGAGTATTCTATCACACTCCTGACTTGTGTCTTGCAGATAATGGATAGGCTTTGGAGAGTCAGGAAGTGAGTTATTTGCTGCAGTATTCCTAGATTCTGACCTGCTTTTGTAACCATAGTGTTTATGTGGTGAGTTCAGTTGAGTTTCTGGTCAATGATAGCCCCTAAGTTGTCAATAGTGGGGGATTCAGTGATGGTAACATCATTGAATGTCAAGGGGTGGTGGATGGATAGTTTCTTATTGGAGATGGTCATTGCCTGGCATTTGTGGGGCGCAAATGTTTCTTGCCACTTGTCAGCCCAAGCCTGGATATTATCCAGACTTTGTTGCATTTGAACATGGACTGCTTCAGTATCTGAAGAGTTGCGAATGGTGCTGAACATTGTGCAGTCATCGGTGAACACCCCCACTTCTGCCTTATGATGGAGGGACAGTCATTGATGAAGCAGCAGAAGATGGTTGGGCCTAGGACACTACCCTGAGGAACCCCTACAGAGATGTTCTGGAGCTGAGATGACTGATCTCCAACAACCACAACCATCTTCCTATGTGCAGGTATGACCCCAATCAGCGGAGAATTTGACTCCTGATACCTGTTGATTCCAGTTTTGCTCGGGCACCTTGATACCACACTCAGTTAAATATGGCCTTAATGTCAAGGGCTGTCACTCTAACTTCACTTCTGGAATTCAGCTCTTTTGTCTGTCTTTTAACCATGGCTGTAATGAGGTCAGGAGCTGGCAGAACCCAAACTGGGCATCACTGAGCAGGTTATTACTGAGCAGGTGCTGCTTGATAGCACTACTGATGACACTTCCATCACTTTACAGGTGACCAACAGTAGACTGACAGGGTGGTAATTGGCTGGGTTGGATTTGTTTCGGCTTTTGAGTACAGGACATACCTGGGCAATTTTCCATGTTGTCGCATAGATGCCAGTGTTGTAACTGTACTGGAACAGCTTGGCTAGGAAAGCAGCAAGTTCTGGAACACAAGTCTTCAGTACTATTGCTGGAATGTTGTCAGGACCCGTAGCCTTTGCAATATCCAATGCCTCCAACCGTTTCTTGATATCACATGGAGTGACTCGATATGGCCGAAGACTGGTAATTGTAATGCTGGGGACTACTGGAGAAGGCTGAGATGGACTTGGCATTTCTGGCTGAAGATTGCTGCAAATACTTTAGCCTTATCTTTTGCACTGAACTGCTGGGCTCTTCCATCATTGACGGTGGGGCTATTTGTGGATCTTTCTCCTCAGTGAGTGTTTAATTGTCACATCTGGATGTGGCAGGACTGCGGAGCTTAGATCTGATCCACTGGTTGTAGAATCACTGAGCTCTTTCAATCACTTGCTGCTTATGCTGTTTGGCCTGTACGTGGTCCTGTTAGGTGGCTTCACCAGGTTGACACCTTAGTTTTAGTTATTCCCGGTTCTGCTCTTGGCATGCCCTTCTGCACTATACATTGAACCAGGATTGATTCCCCTGGCTTGATTATAATGGTTGAGTGGGGGATATGCCAGGCCATGAGGTTCCGGATTTTGCTGGAGTATAATTTTGCTGCTGTTGATGGCCCACAGCGTCTCGGGATGCACAGTCTTGAGTTGCTAGATCTGTTTGAAGTCAGTCCCATTTAGCACAGTGATAGTGCCACACAACACAATGCAGGGTATTCTCAACGTGAAGTGGGACTTTGTCTCAGCAAGGACTTCGCAGTGGTCACTCTTACTGACACTGTCATGGACAGATGCATCTGTACCAACAGATTGATAAGGATGTGGTCAAGTACGTTTTTCTCTCTTGCTGGTTCCCTCACCACCTGCAACAGACCTAGAGTAGCAGCTATGTCGTTTAGGACCTGACCAACTTGATCAGTAGTACTGCCCACAAGCTAATCTTGGCGGTGGACAATGAATTCCCTGCCCAGAGTACATTTTGTGCCTGTGCCACCCTCAGTGCTTCTTCTGAGTGTTGCTCAATGTGGAGGAGTGCTGTTTCATCAGGAGAGAGAAAACAGTACATGGTAATCTGCAGGAAGTTTCCTTGCCCAAGTTTAACCTGAAGTCATGCAACTTCATGGGTCCACAGCAACTCCCTCCTGATTGTATACCACTGTGCAGCCTCCTCTGCTGGATCTGAATGGCCAGTGAGATGAAACATATCCATGAATGGTGGTGTATGGGACATTGTCTGTTACTTATGATTCCATGAGTATGACCATGTCAGGCTGTTGCTTGACCAGGCTGTGAGACAGCTGTCCCAATTTTGACACAAACTCCCAGTAAGGAGGACTTTGTAGGGTCTCCAGGGCTGTTGCTCCATTGTCTTTTCTGGCGCCTTGGTTGATGCCAGGTGGTCAATTCAGTTTCATTTCTTTGTTGAGACTTTGTAGCGATTGGTACAACTAAATGGCTTGCTAGGCCATTTCAGAGAGAAGTTGAAAGTCAGCCATATTGCTGTGGTCTGGAGTCACGTGTAGGCCAGACCAGGTGAGGATGGCAGTTTTCCTTCCCTGAAGGACATTAGTGAGCCATATAGTTATTTTTTACCCCAGCAATTAACAATGGTTTAATGGTCATCAGTAGATTCTGAATTCCAGAATTTTTTTATTGAATTCAAATTCCACCATATGCTATAACAGGATTGAACCCAGGTCCCCAGAACTTTAGCTCAGTTTCTAGATTAATAGTCTAGAGATAATTCCAATTGGTCATCACCACCATATACATTAATGCTATTCCACTAAAATGATGGTACCTTTGAATAAGCTGCTTAATTTGTCGACATGAGTAATTTTCCAACATTCCAACAGTAGCTACACTTCAAAAGTACTTAATTGTCTACAAAGTAATTTAGGATGTCCTGAGGTCATGTAAGATGCAACACAAGTGCAAGTTTGTTTGCCCCTTTTCGGGGAAATATGGTAATATAGTCATAATATCATAAGACTAATAACCAAGAGGTTCAGACTCGAGACCCTGGGTTCAAATTCCAACATGGCAAATAATGGAATTTAAGTTCTAATAATAAGAGATCTGGACTTGAAAGCTAGTCTCAAGAATGATGCAAAGAAACTAATATTGTAAAAACCTATCTGATTTACTAATGTCCTATCAGGAAGAAAAACTGTCACCTTTACCTGGTCTGGACAATATGCAAATCCAGACACACAGAAATGCAGTTGACTCTGAACTGCCTTCTGAAATGGTCAAGGGCAACAAGTGCTGGTCTCAACAGCAGTGCCCACATCCAATGAAAGAATAAACTTTTCTTTATTTTCCGTGTTATTTCATTGTCAATATTTGCTCAGATTCTAGCAAAATAATTTGCCTACTTGATATTGTAACTGAGCCTGAAGACAATTAATGTCCAGAATTGTAAAGTGGAGGGAGAAACCGTCACAATAATGTAACAGTAGTTACTTGGGGTCTGGACATTTCCTTTCTGACCACTCGCTTTGATCATCACTAAAGGATGTGTGCACTCTCCAATATTGTGAACTGAGAGTTCAATCACTTTTTAGCATGAACATGCTTTTGGATGGATAAGCTGTTCATTCCATCCTCCTCAACCCCTAAATCTGTCAATACCAGGTGTGGTTTCTGAACAGAACAATACTTTATGTAGACAGAAGGTTCTAAATCAGATAAAACAAGTTATAAGGGTCTTGAGCTGAAATGTCAACTTTCCTGCTTGTCTGATACTGCCTGGCCTGCTGTGCTCCTCCAGCTCCACACTGTGTTATATTTTTACCTGCTGTTCTAATATCCCAAGTTTAATCTTTGTGGATCAGAAAATATGTCTCCTAACTCTTAAACATATGAACTATGTTTTCGAACAGTAAATAATGCTCTGCTTACAGATTAGGGATATTGTTAAGATGGTTTATAAGAATGGGACCCAATAATTTTGTTCTTTATTCACTAAATAAGCATCATTTTTCTTTTATTCATTCATGGGGTAAGGGTGTCATTGACTGGACCAGCATTTATAGCCCATCCTTAAATTTCCAGAGGGCAGTTAAGAGTCAACCACATTGCTGTGGGTCTGGAGTCACATGTAGGCCAGACCAGATAAGGATGGCAGTCACCTTCCTTAAAGGACATTTGTGAACCAGATGGGTCTTTCTT